TTAAAAAGGAAAAGTGGCGCTCACGGGATACACAAATAGTCATTAAATTAGATCAAATGTAAAATAGCCGAAAAAAAATTCGAGTATTAGCATTTTAGATGCAAAGTAATAAATTACGTAATAATAATAATAGTTGTCTGTGAATAACTGTCGGTAAACTAACTGTCGGTGAAACGATTGTCGGTGAAATGACTGTCAGTGAAATGATTCTGTAGGTAAAAGGGTTGTCAGTAAATTAATATGTCGGGGAAATGACTATTTTGGTAAAGGGGTTGTCGGCAAAATAATATGTCAGAAAAATGATTGTCAGTAAAACGACTCCAACCTATTAATATCGTTACTATACTATTTACATTTTTTAAATTAACAAAAATATCCTTTTTTATCATATTTCTTAGTTGAAATTGTGTAACTACATATATATTTACAAACATATTTGTCTGTTGTTTTTTACATACTGTGCAATACTAGTAACTAAATTTTTCTTTACAGTTCCAACAACTACCTTTGTTTAACTCTTGCATATAAGTATAGCTCATATTAATATTATTAATTTGATTTGATTTTTTAAAAAAATAATAATGTTCATTTTTAGTGTAGTTTTTAATGTAATCTTTTATTGAAATAAAATTATTATTTTCTTTTCATTATTTTTGAACTCATTGTTTAATTGAATTAAACATATACAAGTTTCAAAAAATTATATTAAATTGACTAATTAATTTATTTTTTACATAAATAAAAATCTGTTTGGTTGTAAACTAAACAGATGGTGATTGAGGACAATATTTAGAAGAATTTTTCACTTTAATTTGTTCTAAACATTTATTTATATCTATTTTTTCGATTTCCTTTTGAATATTATTTTTTTCTTTTCTTTCTTTTTATATAATTTTTAAACTCACATAGAAGTTTTGTTTTATCTTTATAAATCATTGTTCCAGCATCTTTAAAACTTTTAATCCAAAAGTAAATTTTATAATTAAGTTTGTATGTTTGAAAATATCTTTTAAATCACATTAAAGAACCTTTCGCTGAAACTCATGCTAATTTTTCTTCAGAAGGAAGAGATTTATCAACACTTTGTAATTTAAAATAATCACATCTTTGACCAAAAAAATATTGATTATTTTTATGATAATTATCATATTGCCAATGGTGTGGTTCAAATTTATGTTTGTTAAGACATTTGCATTGAAAAAATTTCAAAAAATTAATATGTTGGCTATGTTCTAACATATCGAATTTTTCTTTGGAATTTTGTTTAGAATATTGAATTACATATGAACATTCAAAATCAATATTCTACCAAGCAATTAAAATTTTAATAATAAATGATTTATGAATAATTTTATATTTAATTGGAGCAAATTGAACAAAATGTGTGGTAATATCTCTATTAAAAGATATTTTAAAGAAACAATTATATTTCTTAGTGAATAGCTATGGCAGAGCTAGTTGTATTTGTTATCAAATCAAGACTGATTCAATATTGTTTCTCAGTATTTTTTCACTCTTTTTATAGATAAAATTTAATAGTTAAAAAAAAACTAAGTTTTTAATTTTCTCTTATAAACTAATTTTTTCATACTAAAAATTAATCTTTTCTTTTTAATTTTGCTAATTAGTTGTTTTTTAATAAAATTAATCTTTCTATTTTAATTTTACTAATAGTTATTTTTTTTTTATTTTTTTAATTAGTAATAATTACTTTTTTAATAAAACTTTTTGTATAAATATAATAAATGATCATCTATAAATATAAACAAAATATCACAAGAGAATAAACTCCTGATAAATAATGATTTCTTAATATAATCAAAAATTGTGAAAAAATTTTTGAAGAACTTAATGACAACATTATTATTGAAAACATAGCTATCATTAAATCTATTAAAAAAATTGTTTTAAAAAAATTCAATAGAGAAGAACTTAGATATGTTTACAATGAGGTTAAAAAAGATACTGAAGAAACTAAAAATATGAATGATAAAGAAAAATACAATTATAATAATGATTTTCTTAAACAAATAATTTATGAATTCATTATTGATAATGAAAAACATCAAAAGCAATTAAACAAAATTCCTCCATATTATAATTTATAGACAATAAATAAAAATTTTATTTTATTTAAATAAAAATATAAAATATATTAAAATAAGTAATTACTATATCACTATTGTATTTACTTGGTTTTTCATCATATTTAATCAAATTAGTATTAAATATATTCAGACTATTATCTAGTGAATTAAGTAAATAAACTTCATCTGTAAAATTATTAACTATTTCAAATATATTTTCATATTCTTTCTGATATTTGTAATACATTTCAGCAACTGCAAAACTTGGACCAAAAAAATCTGCATGATAATTTAATTTTTTAGTCTGTTCTTCAATAATTTTATCTTTTTCTTTGATTTTTTTTTCTAATCGAATAACAGAATTAACACAAATTTCTTTAATTTGTTTTTGTGAACTTTCTAATTCTTAATCTTTGTTTCAAAGTCATGTTTTTCTTGTTCTTGTTTTCTTCTTTCTTCTTCAAGAAAAGTTT